CTCAGACAAATCTTTTTACAATGAACTATGCCATCAATGATTTTTCAAGTTTGAAATATTTAGTTGAGCATNTGATGTGGGAATGCACTCTTGGTGCTCCTACCGCTACATTTGTTGTTGTTTCCACAAAGAACGATCTCAAAGATTCACTCTACTGGAATAGTTTGTTTTATTCTACTACTGTTGATGAACCAATTTCAAAAGAGGAAGGAATTGAATTTACAAAAGCAATAGGAGCTGTCTCGTTTATTGAAACAAGTGCAAAAACAGGCGAAGGAACAATTGATTTCGATAAGAGACTTGGATTATTGACACATACTCATTTGCACATTTTGGAAAACCCACAAAAAATTGAAACAAACAAGAACCACAAGGAGAAGAAATGTACTGTTCAGTAGTCTTTACAGCACTGAAAATTGTTTATGTGAAATATATAATATATTATGTGAAATTGTGGCCCAACCAACTCGAATGTTTTTCAAAAGATTCCTTCAACACCCACAGTGTTTGAATGTTGTAATTTTATGACAACTTTTTGAGAGCGAATTTTAAATGGTGGATTTTCAAAAACATTTCAGAATTTACATTTTGAAATTCCCTTTTTAGATTTTAAAAAAAATGCAAGATCAACTAGAGTTTTACATTTATGATGATTTATTAGATATCATTCTTGGATTCGTTCCATACTTCTATCAGTGGAAATTCAAGAGAGTGAACAAAACTTGGAAAAAAACAATTACAAGATTACAAAAACGTGTATTATCGGAAAGGTTTAGGAATGCTCCAAGACCCGATAGGATCGAACATATAACATCAAATGAATTACGTAAAGGATATGTACAATTAAATGATCTTGCACTTGTGGAGAAGAAGGATTGGAACAAGTTTCGAATGGATTTATATTTGAGAAATTCAACATCTGCAATTTCCTTTTTAAAACAATTTTATTATTTGGATAATTTACAATGGGTCGTTACACAGAACGATAACCAAGAAGATTCATTAATGACATGTTCCCAATTGAAAGTGAACTATTTCATTTCTTTAA